ACTTTTAACCCCTTCCTGCCCAGGCCAAGTTTTAGCTTTGTAGGGTTGTTGCACTTTGAATGACAATTGCACGGTCATGCAATAGTGTACCCATACAAATTTTTAGCATTTTTTTTCATGCCATTAGAGCTTTCCTTTGGTGGTATTTTATCACCACTGAGTTTTTATTTTTTGCTAAATACACAAAAAACTTTTTTTCTTCATTTCGGTTATAACATTTTGCAAATAAATAAGTTTTCTTCATAAATTTAGGTCAAAGTGTATTCTGCTACAATTCTTTGTTGAAAATAACCCAAATCAGCGTATATTATTTAGTCTGTAGGAAAGTTATACAAGTCCACATACTATGATATATATATACTAGGGTCGATGGTTCGAAGGCACCACCTGCCTGGAGTTTGCATGTTCTCCCTGTGTCTGCGTGGGTTTCCTTCGGGTACTCTGGTTTCCTCCCACACTCCAAAGACATGCTGGTAGGTAAATCGGATCCTGTCGAAATTGGCCCTAGTATATGTATGAATGTAAGTTAGGGACCTTAGATTGTACACCCCTTGAGGGTTAGGGACTGATGTGAATGTATAATATACAGTCAGGTCCATATATATTGGGACATCGACACAATTCCAACATTTTTAGCTTTATACACCACCACAATGGATTTGAAATAAAACAAACAAAGATGGGCTTTAACTGCAGACTGTCAGCTTTAATTTGAGGGTATTTACATCCAAATCAGGTGAACGGTGTAGGAATTACAAGAGTTTGCATATGTGCCTCCCACTTGTTAAGGGACCAAAAGTAATGGGACAATTGGCTTCTCAGCTGTTCCATGGCCAGGTGTGTGTTATTCCCTCATTATCCCAATTACAATGAGCAGATAAAAGGTCCAGAGTTCATTTCAAGTGTGCTATTTGCATTTGGAATCTGTTGCTGTCAACTCAAGATAAGATCCAAAGAGCTGTCACTATCAGTGAAGCAAGCCATCATTAGGCTGAAAAAACAAAACAAACCCATCAGAGAGATAGCAAAAACATTAGGCGTGGCCAAAACAACTGTTTGGAACATTCTTAAAAAGAAGTAACGCACCGGTGAGCTCAGCAACACCAACAGACCCGGAAGACCACAGAAAATAACTGTGGTGGATGACCGAAGAATTCTTTCCCTGGTGAAGAAAACACCCTTCACAACAGTTGGCCAGATCAAGAACACTCTCCAGGAGGTAGATGTATGTGTGTCAAAGTCAACAATCAAGAGAAGACTTCACCAGGGTGAATACAGAGGGTTCACCACAAGATGTAAACCATTGGTGAGCCTGAAAAACAGGAAGGCCAGATTAGAGTTTGCCAAACGACATCTAAAAAAGCCTTCACAGTTCTGGAACAACATCCTATGGACAGATGGGACCAAGATCAACTTGTACCAGAGTGATGGGAAGAGAAGAGTATGGAGAAGGAAAGGAACTGCTCATGATCCTAAGCATACCACCTCATCAGTGAAGCATGGTGGTGGTAGTGTCATGGCGTGGGCATGTATAGCTGCCAATGGAACTGGTTCTCTTGTATTTATTGATGATGTGACTGCTCACAAAAGCAGCAGGATGAATTCTGAAGTGTTTCGGGCAATATTATCTGCTCATATTCAGCCAAATGCTTCACAACTCATTGGACGCCGCTTCACAGTGCAGATCGACAATGACCCAAAGCATACTGCAAAAGCAACCAAAGAGTTTTTTAAGGGAAAGAAGTGGAATGTTATGTAATGGCAAGTCAATCACCTTACCTGAATCCGATTGAGCATGCATTTCACTTGCTGAAGACAAAACTGAAGGGAAAATGCCCCAAGAACAAGCAGGAACTGAAGACAGTTGCAGTAGAGGCCTGGCAGAGCATCACCAGGGATGAAACCCAGCGTCTGGTGATGTCTATGCGTTCCAGACTTCAGGCTGTAATTGACTGCAAAGGATTTGCAACCAAGTATTAAAAAGTGAAAGTTTGATTTATGATTATTATTCTGTCCCATTACTTTTGATCCTTTAACAAGTGGGAGGCACATATGCAAACTGTTGTAATTCCTACACCGTTCACCTGATTTGAATGTAAATACCCTCAAATTAAAGCTGACAGTCTGCAGTTAAAGCACATCTTGTTCATTTCATATCAAATCCATTGTGATGGTGTATGGAGCCAAAAATGTTAGAATTGTGTCGATGTCCCAATATGTACGGACCTGACTGTATATATGTAAAGCGCTGCATAAATTGACGGCGTTATACAAGTACCTGAAATAAATAAATATCTGACAATTGATCAATCCTGATGTACTGACAGCCAATCTAATTTCCTGAGGCCCAAAAATACGCCAGGATAGTACAAATACCCCCCAAATGACCCATTTTTGTAAAACAGAAAGTCCAAGGTATTTAGTAGGTGGCATGGTGAGTTTTTTGAAGCTGTAATTTTTTGTCGCAATTTTTTGGAAAATAAAGACATTTTTAAAAAATCTAATTTTTTTCACTGTGACCTAAAAGTCAAAACATATACCTGCAGAACCCAAACACCTTTGTGCTCAAATTCTGTGCAAAAATACAAATATTCAGTGAAAGTTATTCATTTTAAGGTCATCAGAAAAGACAGAAATTCTTTGTAATGGGGGAAAAGCTATCTCCTGAATACTGAATACCTTATTGTAAGAGCTGTGAAAATGTGGAATAGACTTCAAAAGGAACCTCTATTCCTTGATTTAAATTTTTTAAGGGTTGGGTGTGTTTCAAAATGTGTACAAAATCTAAATGGCTCATAGATATAAATGTAGAAAGCTGATCTAGGAAGTTATCAAATTGTCAGAAAGTATGTTTTTTCCCTCTTACAGCAAACTGAACCATTCTTTATAAGGGTTTTTTTTATTTATGCTTACCATACAGAGTTAGAATTTCCTTCAAAGGTTTGTGCAAAATTCTGAAAATCATCAGAGCATTTGATGGCTCCATCACTGAGTCCACTAACTTTGAAAGTCACTTAGACATTTCAATCAGACCTGCTACTTCAATATATTTTCAGACATATAAAAAAGAATAATGAAAATCAAAGTTTATTTAAATTCATAAGTATATTGTCTATTTAGAAATGTATTTATATACTGTATACTTTTATATGTTCATCAGCCAGTGGGATTTAGTGGATATTCTATATATACAGTATTTATAAATCCAATTTTGCTTAAACCATATAGAAACATTTGTTTGTATTGTTCCTTCGTATTCTTATAAAAATACATACATATTTAAAAGAATGAATGTTCGCGATCACAAAAGTTTTAATTGTGGCTTCAACTTTTTTTCAGTAAATGTTCATAACAAAAAGTACAATTTTTTCCCAACTGAGAACCACATTAACAGTTAGGATGTCAATAATTCAATATGTAATTAAAAACATTTTCCATCCTTTGTCTTTGATGAAAACAATCGTGTGTTTGTCCCCATTAACCATCAGAGAATCTAACATACGTGCCAGGAATAAAAGTTTCCAAGCTAAATTTTGGATCAACTATTGAGGATTTTCTTTTTTTTTTTCTAATATATAAAGCATGTATTTGTTATTTTAATTGATAGCCTGCTCAAAAGATTAAAGACTTATGCAGGCCATAGACGGGTCGTTTATCGGCCGAATTTTCATCCGCATGAAAAATCGGCTGATATTCACGCCGTTAGTGGGGCCAGCCCGTCGACCGTTTTTTGCGGAACTTCTCATTTAATTTTATCGGTCATGCTGGAAAATCCACGAAAAACGACCGTTTTTGTAGACATTGGTGGCAGCATCGGCAACGGCAACAACCGCTTTTTCGATTATCGGCTGACAATTTGGCCGATAAACAGCCCGTCTATGGCCTGCATTAGAAACGGGAGCATACTGTATGTCCACAGTAAAGCCTCAGCGGATGCAGCAATGTGCCACTATTTGCATAAAGTAGTGCATGAACACAGACATAATGCACTGAACTCACACTAAATCAGTGCAATATGTCTGTGTGCATGCCGCACTTTACACAAATAGTATGCATAGCTGCTCACCACTGCCTTCAGCCATTCATGTGTGTGGGTGAAAATAAAGAGCTCCAGGGCATCCCTGGCTCCAGAAATGTAAGCAGTGTCCTTACGCTGCCCATGTACATGAAGCCTAACAGGTTATCTGTTTACCAACTAAAAATTAAAAGAAACGTATGAAATAGAAAGCCTGACCTTTTAGCTCTCATGCACACTGGGAATTTTTACAGCTGCTGCTTTTGGCTTCTGGATTTTTTTTCCACTGGCAGTAAACTCCCCAGCATGTTATCCTATGTGTCCATGCACACATAGGCTTTAATCAGCATTTTTTGGTAGGGGCGTTTTTTGGCTAGAAAAATCCCCCAAAACTAGTGGGTTTCAAGAGGAGTCTTTTAGCTGTAAAAATGCTCTAATGCTGGTAAACGCAGTAAAACGCAGCAAACCATAGTTTTTGAGCGTTTTGTGAGCCCCCCAATTTTTTTTTATGTGTGTGTAAAGAATATATTATGTGTCCATATGGCCTACTAGTTTAGGCTTTTTGGGGGAAGCACAGTGGCTAAATGGTTAGCACTTCCGACCTGTCAGTACTAGGGTAGTTGGTTCAAAAATCCAAACCACGGCACCACCTGCCTGGGGCTTGCAAGTTCTCCCTGTGCCTGTATGGGTTTCCTCTGGGTACTTCAGTTAGTAATAATAATATTAGCATAATTTGAGCTTCATTGTCAGAAGGGAGCAGAAAAAAATAGTTTTTGTAGAGTTTTTTAGAACATTTTTCCAGCAAAAAAGAAAATGCTAAATACTCCTAAACACTACTAAAACACTCCTAACAGCTTTTTTCTAGTTTTTTTCCTCTCTACATGTACTGTAAAACACTAATAAAACGCTAATGCTCCTATACGCTTCTGAACACTACTAAAAAAACGCTATTACCAAGCTTTTTTTATCCAGCATTTTTATTCAGGGTTTTCTTAGCTTGAAAAAAATGCTAGCATGCATGGACCCTGCTAGTATTTGGGGGCCAACTACAACAGTAAACAAAGGTCTAACCCAGGGGCGGACTGACAACTCATGGGGCCCCCGGGCAATAGGGGTTCATGGGGCCCCTGTGTCCTTGCCCAAACTCAAAAAAGCCTATGAAAAAGGTACCAGGGGCATCTCATGGGGCCCCCTACTGACCCCCCGGGCCCTTAGGCAGTGCCCGAGTTTCTAAATGGTCAGTCCGCCCCTGGTCTAACCCAAGTCAGAGCAGGTTGTGTGACTTTTATGGGACCCAGAAGTACAGGATGCATTAAACTTTCTGGCTTCACATAAACATGGGTATTTTCTACATGAGTGCTTATTTCAATACAATCAGTGTTCTGTATCAGTAGAGGAACTGCTTCACAGAGGCCTATTAGAGAGGTGAAGTGCAAGTGCCCCTTAATATGTTTGCTATAGGGCCAAAATCAGACAAAGTTGTGGCCCTGCCAATAAACTACTCATATTTATGCACAGTAAACAAGTTTATTATATTTATATAATGTCTTTGTGGGGGATTTGAGTCATTGATAAGATGTTAAAACCTCACAGTGACAACGCCCACACCATCATAAAAATTAAATTTCTGAACACAGCAAGAGCCCTCAAATGCGAACGTTTAATTTTTGTAGAAAGAGATTTTTTTTAATATTTATGTTAGAACACAAGAGATGACGAATTCGAACTAGGGCGTACACACGGAATTTCGAGTCGAATTTTCAGGAAACTATTCCGATTCGTGTCGAAACCGGAAATTTTATAGCCTACTTCGGGTGCCGCGAATCGAAACATTTCCCGATCAGAGCCGGCAAAAGTGTTCCCTGTCAGTGACTCATTCCGCAATTATCTGACAGTTTTCTCTGACATGAAGGAACACATGTTTTAGCGGGTTGAAAACATTCGTAATCTATTTAGTTTTACATATATGGATACAGATGTTTCAACCACTGTAACATGTGAAAAGCTTGTGAGAGAACTGTCAGAAATAGAGGAACTCTGCACATACACACATTTTGCCGCCGGCTTGGAATAATTCTTCTTTTCATCCTACTTCTTCTTCTTCTTCATCCTCAGAAGAAGAGGATGATGGATGAGTAATGAAGAAGAAGAAGACAAGAAGAAGAAGAAGAATGGAAGTAATAGGATAAAGAAGAAGAATACAATCCAAGCCGGCAAAAAGTGTATGTGAACAGATCATTCCTCTACTTATCTGACAGTTCACTCACAGCTTCAAATCACATGTAAACGGCTTGAAACATCTGTAATCAAGTAAATGAAAACTAATAGAATTACAATTTGTATTAAAAATACATGTATATTCTTGTTCTAACCTCAATAAAGTTCCAGGATACAATATTTCAACCGCTGTACATGTGAAGAACTGATGAGAGAACTGACAGAAAGAGAGGAACTCTGCACATACACTTTTATGCCGGCTTGGGAATTATTCTTCTTTTACATTCTTCTTTCTTCTTCCTCATCCTCACCCTCATCCTTCATATCCACTCTTTTCTGAGGATGAGGATTAGGAGAAGAAGCAGAAGAAAAAGAAGTAGATGAAAATCAGATAATAATTCCAAGGCCGGCAAAAAGTGTATGTGCAGAGTTCCTTATTCTGCAGATACACTTAGAGGAGCTCTGCAGTGTATACACTTAGAGGAGCTTTCTGGCACATACACTTTTTGCGGACATGGAAATTAATCTTATTTTCATCCTACTTCTATTCTTCTTCTTCTTCTTCTTCATTCCTCATCCTCAGAATGAAGAAGAGAGCTGATGAGGATAAGGTTCTGATGAAGCAGAAGAAGAAGAAGAAGAAGTAGATCGAAAATAAGAATATTTCCAATATTCCCTCGCAAAAAAGTGTATGTGCAGAGGACTAGCTCTCACAAGTGTATCTGCAGAGCTCCTCTAAGTGTAACTGCAGAATAGAGTATGGAACTCTCCTACCATACCACTTTCTTTGCCGGATGAAATGTCCGCTGTATGGAAGGAAATGGTCCACCCTGTCACCAAACTGTCAGAAATAGACTATTTCTGACAGTTCCTGGGACCATTCACTGCATACAGCAGTTTTAAAACAACCGCTGTAAGCTGATGGTAATTCATGGCGAACGGTCAGAAATAGACTATTAATGACAGTTTCTGGGACTGTCCTTCAATCGACAGCGGTTGAAACAATTGTAGTGATATTTATGGTTTCCATAAATATGAGGGATCCATTTAATGGAAAAATTCCAAATAACATACAATGTTTCAACCGCAGTTATGGTGAAGGACAGTCCCACGGGTTTTACTGTCATCATATAATAGTCCCTATTTACTGACAGTTCCCATGACATTCTTGTCCATAACAGCGTTCTAAAACAAGCTGTATGGATTGAATGTCCCAGATGTAATCAAAATAGACTATTTATGACATTGTTCTTTTTAACACACATCCAGTTCTGGGACATTCAGGTGCGATAGCATACACTTTTTTATTATAACCGCTGTATGGAGGGAAAGATCCATGGATACTGTCAGAAATAGCCTATTAATGACAGTATCTGGGACTTGTCCCTTCAATGCCAGTCGTGAAACAGTGTTGTATTCTTTTTCCATAAGATGGATCCAGAACGTTATGGAAACAAATTACATACAATGACTTAAAATCCAATGCTCTGATTGCTGCAAAGTGTAAGGACAGTCCCAGAACTGTCATTAATGAGTCTATTTCTTGACAGTATCCAAAAACATATCCCTCCAAGTACAGCATTTAAAACCTGGCTGTATGGATGTGAATGTCCAAGATCTATTTTATAAATAGACTATTTATGACAGTTCTGGACATTCACTCAGCATACAGCTGTTTTTAACCGCTGTATGGCAGGGAATGTCATGGAACTGTCAGAAACTAGACTATTAATGACAGTTCTAGGGACTGTCCCTTCCAGGTCAGCGGTTTGGAAACATTGTATGTATTTGTTTCCATAAATGGATTTCTCATATAATGCGGAAACAAATACATACAATGTTTCAAAACCGCCTGTATGGAAGGACAGTCCCACAACTGTCACATTAATAGTCTATTTCTGACAGTTCCATGACAATCCCTCCATACAGCGGTTAAAACAGCCTGCTATGGAGTGAATGTGACCCAGATCTATCAAGAAATAGACTATTTAAGACAGTGTTCTCCATACTTATAAGGGGGAATATTCTACTGCATAACAGCTGTTTAAACCGCTGTATGGAGGGAAATGTCCATTGGAACTGACAGAAATAGACTAATAAATTGACAGTTTCTGGGACTGTCCCCCTTCAATGCAGCGGTTGAGAACATTGTTCCATCCAGTAGTTTGTTTCCCATAAATGAATCCAAGATTTATGGTGAAACAAAATCATACAATGGGGAACCGCTGCCGATGCGAAGGCACAGTCCCAGAACTGTAACATTAATATGTCTATTTCTGACAGTTCCATGACACATTCCCTCACATAACAGCGGTTGAAACAAGCTGATATGGCAGTACCGAATGTCCCAGATGCTATCATGAAATAGACTATTTATGAAACAGTTCTTGGGACAGCATTCTCACTGCCCTACCAGCTCGTCCCTAAAACAGACTGTATGGAGGGAAGTGAATTCATAAAGAAAGAACTGTCAAAAATATGACTACTTAATGAACAGTCTCTAGTGCTCCCGGAGACTGTCCTTCCATGCATCGTTGAAACAATTTTGTCATGTAATTTGTTCCTCCATAAATGAGATCCATTTATGTGAAACAAAATACATACAAAACTATTTCTCAACCCGCTGCATGGAAGACAGTCCAACGAACTGACCATTAATAGTCTATTTCTGACAGTTCCATGACATTCCTCTCTATACAGCGGTTAAAACAGCTATGTATGGAGTGAATGTCCCAGATCAATCAGAAATAGACTATTTATGACAGTTCTGGGACATTCACATGCATACATGCTAGTTTTAACCGCTGTATGGAGGGAATTGTCATGGAACTTGTCAAAATAGACTATTAATGACAGTTCTGGGACTGTCCTTTCCATGCAGCGGTTGAAACATTGTATGTATTTTTTTCCCATAAATGGATCCATTTATGGAAACAAATAACATACAATGTTTCAACCGCTGCATGGAAGACAGTCCCAGAACTGTCATTAATATCTTTCGTCTATTTCTGACAGTTCTATGACAATCAATTCCCTCCACTACTTCAGCTTGAAACCAACTTTATGAAATTACAACCTGTATGGAGTGAATGTCCCAGAACTGTCAGAAATAGACTCTTAAACACTGTCACAGAACTGTCCTTCAAGAATCTCATCCTTCTCCTTCTTCTCAAATCCTTCAACCTTCTCAACCTTCTTCCTTATACCTTCTCCTTCTTCTCATCCTTCTCCTTCTTCTCATCCTTCCTCCTTCTGCTCATCCTTCTTCTCATCCTTCTCCTTCTTCTCATCCATCTCCTTCTCCTTCTTCTCATCCTCTCTCTCTCTCCTTCTTCTCATCCTTCTCCTTCTCCTAATCCTTCTCCTTCTCCTTTTCTCATCCTTCTCCTTCTCCTTCCTATGCATCCTTCTCCTTCTTCTCACCCATTCCCTTCTCCTTCCGCCTTCTCAGTCCATTCTCTCCTTCTCCTTCTCATCCTACTCCTTCTCCTTCTTCTCATCCTTCTCCTTCTCCTCATCCTTTTTTCTTCTCATCCTTCTCCTCTCCTCTCCTTCTTCTCATCCTTCATTCTCCTCCAACCTTCTCATCCTTCTCCTTCTTCATCCAATCCTTCTCCTTCTCCTTCTTCTCATCCTTCTCCTTCTTATCTCCTTCTTCTCATCATTCTCCTTCTTCTCATCTTCTCCTTCTTCTCATCCTTCTCATCCTTCTTCTCATCCCTTCTTCTTCTCATCCTTCTCCTTCTTCTCATCCCTTCTCCTTCTCCTTCTCCTTCTTCTCCCTCCTTCTCCTTCTTCTCATCCCTTCTCCTTCTTCTCATCCTTCTCCTTCTCATCCATCTCTTTCCTCCTTCTTCTCTTCCTTCTCCTTCTTCTCATCCTTCTCCTTCTTCCTCATCCTTCTCCTTCTTCTCATCCTTCTCCTCCTTCTTCTCATCCTTCTTCTCATCCTTCTTCTTCTCATCCTTCTCCCTTCTTCTCATCCTTCTCCTTCTCCTTCTTCTCATCCTTCTCCTTCTTCTCATTCCTTCTCCTTCTTCCTCATC